GGGGGGGGTACGCGGCGGCCGCCAACACATTTTTTTGGCGCGCGAGGCTGAGCTCAGCCAATTAATACGGCAGTTAGTTGGCGACAATGTTCTTGTTGGGCAGAAACTGCAGACACCTTATCGTTTCGATGTTCATTTGTCACCCGGTTTGATTTTCGTTTCGATGTGGTCGGTTTTTTTTTGCGCTGTGATCATATGCTGCTTAATTTGAAGTGATTTCAATTTTCCGCTTTTTTTTTGCCCTCGCGATAAGTGGTCGCCCGGACCAGCTGTGCCCCCCCCATGATCAAGTGGATGAGCAGGGAAGCCCCGTGTCGGTCGGTGCTCGATCGGTGCGGCACGCGTACGCAGCCCTGCCCCTACATACCATGCCAGCCCCACTCCCAGCGCGGATAAAAAACCGACTCGAAAACTGTGTGTTTTGCTTATTGGCCCCGGTCCTCAAAGTTCGCTCATAACTAACGTTCGTTCGCATGCCAGCCTTTCATTTGGCACACGGGCGCACCCCCCCCCCTCTTTTGTGTCCGTATGCGGTTGCGGTGTGTGGGGGGGGGGGGGTGAATGCGCACCTGCATCCTCCCTATAACTCCAAACTTCTCGTAACTCGTCCCGGCGACACTGCATGACTCGCATGACTAACAAAACTACTAACAAAACATTCTACGGCCACTGCTTTATGTACTTGTTGTTGATGATGCCGACCTGACACGCACCTATATACCTGCCCGCACAGGCCTCCCTCCTGCACAAGGTCCTGCACCACAAGACGGACTCCGGCACGACGGTGTCCGCGAGCACGCCCCCCACCCCGACAGCCGACGTCCCTCCGCACGGCGGCGGCGCCTCCTCGCAGGGCCCCCAGGACAGTCACGGCCCGACGACCCTCCCCCCGACCACCACGACGGTCGAGTCCAGGACGCTGATCGGGGCGCCCCTGCGCTGCGGCCCCGGGGAGAGGGCCAGCATGGGCAAGTGCAGGGAGTACGTCTGAGGGCCGCCCCGCCCACACCATTCGGGCCGCGGCCCCAACCACTCCACGACGTGTTCTGGCGCGAAACGACTGTCGAACCGACGTCACCTGCGCCATTTTGACATGGTTTCGATCCCCTACTTCGCGCTGGGTACGCGATGCAAGGCGCTCGTTTCTTGGATGAACTTAAACTGCCCCGTGTTTTAGTAGACTGTACTCATTGAGATTGAAAGACTGGCTGTGACTCCGTCCAGACACGCGTCATGGCGTTGTGAACAAAGCAGCAACTAGGCGCTGTGATATTATTGAGAACTGATGTCGGATTGAATCATCGAGTAATGTTATTTTGTTATATTAAAAATTGTGCAAAATAAAAACATTTAGCCTATTCCATCAATTTCCTTTGTCGTTGATTTTAATAAGGTTCGACTCAACACAATCACTTGTGTGAATATATCTTGTATACGAGGCGTCTGCAAAATCCTACCGCATTGCACGCATGTGGGTGGATTGCCTATTTCATTCCGCTCACGATCGTCGCTCGTATGCACTGCGCCGTATGGTTCGGCATCATCCAGAAAGCACGTGCGTTTTTCTCAGATTCATTCGGTAAATTATTGGAGCTCGACGCCTGCAAGTAGCAGGGTAGGCCATCCGGCAGTGCACGCATGCAACGAAGGCAATATGTTGCCTACCCATCAGGCGCTAGCAGAGCTCAGAGCTTGCATCGGCTGAACTTTGCACTTTCGTAACGGCGGATGGCGGGCGCACTTTCTGGATGATGCTTTAGCTGCGGTAGTAAAGCCTAACTCGTGCTGTACAGTTAGTACAAACATGCTGTTAGACAGCTCGGAATAGCTCAAACCAGACCTGCAACAACTTAAATGTGTGCCAGACGGGGCTCGCCGTCAACATCGCACCGTATTACGAAACGAAACAAAAGTAGAAACACGTTCAGTGCGGCGGAAAACAAACGCCCATAGTTTAAGTCCAATGACCACTTTAAGTGGCCACGCTCCACACGCCAACCTCAGTGTGTTATACATTTACGACGAATGAATGTGCCACCCGTGCCGTGCTCCTCAAGCAAGGTATCGTACGAATGTGTCATGATCGTCTCAAATTCAATGTAATCGAATCAAAATAAACCACCTCTTCCGGGAATACAATCAGCTGTTCACTGTGTCAACAGCTGTTCAACAAGGGGTGGGGGGAATGAGTGAGAGAGAGGGGGGGGGACGAGCAGAGCGAGTGTGAATTTGTGAGTGTTCATTGGACGCATTGGAGCAGCCGAGTCGGACCAAAGCATCTTCGACAGTTGTCAGTCAGTGAGTCGATGCTGAGTCGCACTCCTCGAGCCCGTTCCGTCCCCGCCGGGCCGCCCCGCCCGCCGCCCGCCCCCCGCCGAGCGCCGCGTGCCCCGAGTGGCCCCACCACCCCGACAGTTTCCCGCCTGCAGGCTGACATGTGAATCGCGTCGCGGATCACGACATGCGCGTGTCCAACTCCCTCGCGGGCCCCCTGCTGCTGCTGGCCGTGGCGGCGGCCTGCTTGTCGTCGGCGCAGGGTGGCGTCGCCACCGCGGCCCCCAGGACGCAGCACGCGCCGGCCGCCGCCGCGTCCATCGGCTCCATGGCGTCGGGCAGGCCGAGCCGGCCCCGGGCGACCCCGGTGACCGCGCTGCCGGCGCTGTCCACGACGGAGCGGACGGTCGAGCACCACGACGGCAAGCTGGTGCTGATCCACAAGCCGCGCTCCAAGTCGCCCGGCCGCGGCCGCGGCGCGCACCCGGCCACGACCAAGCCGCCGCCCGACGCCAACACCATCCTCATCCAGGCGCCCAGGAGGTTCGTCCCCCAGCGCGAGCCCGTCACCTGCGGGGACGGCTACACCCCCGACCACAGGGGCAAGTGCAGGGAGGACTGGTGAGGCGCGGCCGGCGGCGACCGGCGGCGACCGGATACGGAAGACAAAAGGGCGGTGAGTGCTGCATGGGGACAAGTCCACCGACCGGACCGGGACCGGGGCGGCTCACTATCTGGCTGGCGACTGTGGCTGGCCGCATCAAGGTTGTTGAAGTTTCGCGTCGATGCCACGCAACCAATGGGCCACGGAGATAGTCGACACGAACGGGCCTCGTGAAGATTAACCCCCTCGGCGAACGCTCCTCGCTGTGTGTGTGTGTGTGTGTGTGTGTGTGTGTGTGTGTGTGTGAGTGAGAGAGAGAGACCACGACAAACCGTCTCTCCCACTCGGTACGGTCACGTAGAGGCGACTTAGCCCCCCCCCCTCCCTCCCTCTCTGCGCCATGTTCCGCCCACACGAGCCTTGCCGCCCGGACCCAGGGGGAAGATCACTCACTCAATGAATCGAATTGAATTCGACTCCTGAGAGTGTGAGGAAGCGCGGCGGGTACCCTCTTCTTTTGGCCGAGCCGTTGGAGTCTGGTGTGGCACCCGCCATCCAAATTTAATTTATACACAAGTTAACGGGGGAGAAACTGAGGGCGCGCGCGGATCGGGTTGGACGAGACTGATCTTTTTCTGCACCCGAAAACGGAGATACGACAGTGAGGCTGACGACGGTGCCAGTTCGCTTTCATGCAATATGGCATGATGATAGATTACTCCCTCCCCTCCCCAACCTCCACCCCTCCGCTGCGCCGCGCACGTGCTCACGCAGCAGCGCCCCTCCCCCTCCTCCCACCCCCGCACTCACCCGCGCACCCCCTCGCACCATCCCCCTTTTTTCCCGACCTCCTCCGATCTCTTCCGCACCGGCGCCGTGCAAGGTAAACAAAGCGGGGACCTTCCCCTCTCCTCCCTCCCTTCTCCGTGAGTGGGGGAGGGG